TGTGTGTGTGTGTGTGTGTGTGTGTGTGTGTGTGTGTGTGTGTGTGGTGTCTTCCTGGATCAAGGACGTTCACGACTCTGCCATAGTCACTGGGACCCGCCAGGCCTCCACGGAGGATGCGGAAAGCAGGGAACTTTCTGGGCTCAGGGCGTTCCACGCTCCTGGGGGGACGGGGCCTGGCTGCGTTCTGAGCTGGTTTCTCCACCTGTGCGCCCGCCTCCTTGGCGGCTAAAGTCCGAAGGTGGGAGGTCAGGTTCTGCGGGGTGGACGGGCGATGCCCACCAGAACCATGACAAGTTCTCCAGTCCACGCGCCATCCCCGCACCAGCTTTTACCTCTTTAAACGTGTGGCTGTGGAGCTCCTGCCTTGCTTAGGGGACGGGGCGCGCTCAGAAGTGAGCTTGGCAGTCCCCAGCCCTGGCGAGACAGTTCCGCGGGGCTGGGGTGCGGTGGGAGGGGACGAGCTAGGGCAAGGGGGGTGCTCTTCTGGCCGGGGTCCTCCTGGGGCGGCGCCCTAGGCGCCCTGAGGCCCGAACGCGCCGTCCAGCTTTGCGGGGAGAGGGCGGGGGATTTGGGGGGGCGGGGAACGCAGCCCTGCTCTCGAGGCCCCGCCGGGCTCAGCGGGCCGCGCGTGTCTGTCTGTTTCCACCCCAGGTTTGGTTCCAGAACCGGAGGGCCAAGTGCCGCAAACAGGAGAACCAGATGCATAAAGGTGGGTGCGGGGCGCGCGGGGGCGGCAGCCGCGAGGTGCGGGGCGGGGCGCGGTGGCGCTCACGCCCCTTGTCTTCCCTTGCAGGCGTCATCCTGGGCACCGCCAGCCACCTGGACGCCTGCAGGGTGGCGCCCTACGTGAACATGGGCGCCCTGCGGATGCCTTTCCAACAGGTAGCCCGTTTTCCTTCCTGCGGAGCCGCGCGCGCGCGCAGGGCCCCGCCTCTCCGGGTCCCCCAGCTCCCAGCTCCGCCCGCCTCCGCGGAAGAAAGGAGGCCGCTTTTACAAGACAACATTTATAGACCCGTTGGCACGCGTTAAAGTCACGCCGTAAAACTCCAAGAGTCACCTTCAGGAGGGCCGGGTCATAAACCCAAACGCAGCTTTACAAAAATCGGAGGGGAAAAAAAATCCCACCTACCCAGGAACCACCCACCCGCTTGCCGCCTGGGGTCTGGAGCCTGGGGGGGGAGGGGGGTGAGGGGGTGCCCGCCTTAACGGCTGAGCGCCCCGGCGGGAGGTGTCTGAGCCCCCCTGTGCCTGGCCCCGCCCCACAGCTCAGAACTGGGGGCGTCCTGCCCACCTCTGAACACAGTTCGGAGCGCCCAGAGCGCGGGGTGTCCTGCGTGGCCACGGGGTGGCCACGGGGTTGCAGGACAGCTGCAAAGTCCCAGTGTCCCAAAGGCCGAGCCCGGCTCCCCAAGAGCAGCGGCTGGATGGTGGGGGGTGCCGGGTCCCCAGTGCGAAAGCGCAGCGCCCACCTGCGCCCCACCTTGCTTCAGCTGGGGACCAGGCGGCGCCCCCGTTGGGGCCCCCACGTAGGGGCGTGGGAGTGTGCGCGCTGGCGGAGCAGGGGCGCCCTGAGCAGCGCACAGGGGTGGCCACCACACGCAGGTGTTTTGTTCCAAAGGGCAGGCCCGGGTTTATATTTGGACCGGTGTTTGCTGAGGGGCACAGAGTCCGGTGGGTCTGGCCTGGGCCTCCGCTGGTCAGTTAGGGTGTGTGTGTGTGGGGGTGTGGATGGGAGGGGTACACAGACAGCTGTGTGCTTTCACACTCAGGATGTCCTGGGTTTCCAGGTCCGCCCGTGTGCAGAGGGGGAGGGCAGTGATTTGCACCCTTGGGGCTCAGCCCCCCCCCTTGCCTGGGCCCCTCCCAGCCCCCCTTCTGCAGGGCGGGGGGTGGGCCCTTAGGAACAGCTGTCCTGACATGGGGTCAGCCACCAGGCCCTGATGAAATTAGCCCTGGAATCCGCAGACTTGGCTAATCCCGCATGCCGGGACGTCCCTGGGAGGGGGTTCAAGGGGGCGCCTCAACCAAAGCCCAGCCCTGAGCTTGGGACGCGTCAAAGGTTAGAGAAACCGGGGCTCTGGTTAGGAGGGGTGCCTGCTGTAGACACCCCAGGGCTTGAGAGGACAGGAGGGTAGGCGTCACCAGCGGGGGTGGGCGCACGGATCTGTCGAGCAGCCCCAGGCCTGGCTCTGTCCTAGGCGGCCGGTGACCCCAGCTGGACGCGGTGTCCAGGGGACAGCTCCGCCTTCCCGAGTGGGAAGAGGGGAGTGGGCGGTGGTCCCCAGGTGGGGGATGGCACCACGGCAGACAAGACACCCTTGGGGTCCCCCCTCCCCGGGGTGGGAGAGCGCCCTGCGTGGGCCGTGGCCTAACTAACGCACGGTGTGGGGTCCCCCTCGCAGGTCCAGGCGCAGCTGCAGCTGGAAGGCGTGGCGCACGCGCACCCTCACCTGCACCCGCACCTGGCGGCGCACGCGCCCTACCTGATGTTCCCGCCGCCGCCCTTTGGGTTGCCCATCGCCTCGCTGGCCGAGTCCGCCTCGGCCGCCGCCGTCGTGGCCGCCGCCGCCAAGAGCAACAGTAAAAACTCCAGCA